GTCTCATTTTTTTTCTCCATGAATAGTTTTTCCCTTTTTTAAGTGAATATAAAGTAATCATGTTTAAAAATACCAATACGTAGAAAAGTATAAGAAGAAAATATAAATCATCAGAAATCCCACCTTCAAAATAACCCCTAAATCTCTATTTACTTAAGGAGATCGTCCTTTCTATTGTCTTTGAAAGCATAACACACATAGAGAGGTATATTTTAAACACATTCAGATGTATGATGGAGAGATAGTTTAATATCCATTATTTTAACTTAAAGATCTATCATCACCATTTCCTCCTATTACAATTTTCCATAAATAAAATTGTGGTGGTCCATCATGCAATTTTCTTCTGCTACTCTATGTTTTTATTATTTGCAACTTTTCATGGTAATAAATAAAGCTTCGATTAACATTTTTATACTTAAAGCTTCTATACTCCTACCTAGAAAATTTAAATCTATGGACTTTTTCCTTTTGTGATTTCCTCTATTGATTTTGGGAAGAGAAAGTGCTTACCCGTTCAAAGATCAGAATTCTTATTGTTTGGTTTCTTTTCTTTCTTTTAAGTTAGCTCCTTAATCTGTCTGGGCTATCTTGTTCTATGTTGTTAAAGGTTCCAAACTTATTTGTCACATGTTTAAATTTTAGTCAAATTGTGTAGAAGTTATTTGCCCAATATTTTTCAAATGCACATTTATGTCTCTTAAAAAAAATACATGTCTCATAATCTCGGTTATCCACTAAGCTTAAGAAAACCTTCAAGACTGACAAAATAACCAGAGCTTTGATTACTAGCAGGAAGTCATACCGGGCAGAAATAAAGAGGACACTCATACAGGCCAAATTAAAGCTAAACAATCAGAAAATCCAAGTTCCTAGCTTTAGTGGTTTTATTATTTTAGCCTTAAAAAGTCTCTAAAATCCCAAGAGTAGCTTAAGTAGTTAAAAGACAGTATTCAATGCAGTAGGCTATTCTCCATGTGGCCTGGCCAGTACTGGTCTCATTTACAGGCCATGGGCAACCTCTATATCCTGCCATTGGTCACCAGGTTCTTGCCACTGGTCATGAGCAGAGTAGGTGAGAAAGCAGAACACAAGCTTACCAACCCAAGTGGAGAAAGGATACAAATGGCTTGCCCTGCTGGTTGACAGTAGGTCAACGGAGCATCTTCAGAATGAAGAGCAGCACAGATGTCAGTATCTACATGGTTGCTTCTCAATAACAAATACTGGATTATATCGGATATAATACAATCCAAAATGTATTAGGTTGTATTTTTTTCTTATATTTTTCTAATATTGGATTATATTTTCAGTTTTTCCCCCTCCACAGCACCTTCTGATGCACAACACTGTCACTGCTGCTTACTAGTTGCTCTGACTTGGGTCAATCTAACTTTCTTGGATAGTTTCCTCAACTGCAAAATGGAGATAATAAAGAAAATCAACCACTTAAGGTTGTTGTGAGCATTAAGGAAAAGGCTTAGAACAGGCTGGGCATGTTAACATGGCTCATGCCTATAATCCCAGCGTTTTGTTTACATGGCTTATGCCTGTAATCCCAGCATTTTGTTTACATGGCTCATGCCTGTAATCTCAGCATTTTGTTTACATGGCTCATGCCTGTAATCCCAGCATTTTGTTTACATGGCTTATGCCTGTAATCCCAGCATTTTGGGAAGCCAAGGTGGGAGGCTGATTTAAGACCAAGAGTTTGAGGTTGCAGTGAGCAGTGATCGTGACAATGCCCTCCAGCCTGGGTAACAGAGTGAGACTCTGCCTCAAAAAAAAAAAAAGGAGGTGGGGCAGGGCTTAGAATAGTGACTGCACTTAGGAAATGCCTTTTGTGTTCATTATTATTATTACCACTATTCTACCACTTCTGCTATGACTATTACTACTACTAGGGTAGTACGACGACCCCGGAAATCCCAGGTCAAACTTAAATTGGGTTCTTTGGAATGAAACAGGCAACTGGGGACCTCCGTGGTCAGATCAGCTCCAGGAGTATACTCTGTCCTCAGCTTTTGCAATTCCTCTGGGAAGTTCAGTATTTACTGACATTACTAAAGTAGTGAATTTCTGGGGTGGGTGGTATCATAATCTTCCACATTTCCTGATACACAACCATAAGACATATGTGCACACAAGCACCTGGTTCTTGAGGGGGCAAGAACCAGGAGGATGGTTCTTGGAAAAGGCAGATGTGGCACAGTTCATTTTAGTCCTTACTTGAAGCTGACAAGGCTATAAACTGCAGATCAAAAGCCTGCACCTCCCAAACCATATGCTGCAAAGATCAAGACTATGTGTGATCACGCAAGAACAAGGAGTGATCTGGGCTGTGAACGGAACTGGTCCATCTGGTGAAAATCTATCAAGGTTCGAAAATTCATCTCTAATACCACTGCTACTCCTAGTTCCTCAGTTATTTCCTCAGAGTCCTGATCTTCTACTGCCATGCAACTTGCTCAACGATTGGGGTGTAGCCAATTCAAGTTTAAAACGTTTGCCTAAGAATTTATCTCCAGCTTTGAAACTCAGATTCATTTTATAAGAAAATTGGCATCACATCCTTCTGGGTCATAGTTAGGTTCATAAACCATCTGAGATGTGTGAGACATCTAAATCACTTTGAATATCAACAAGAAAACATGTTGGATAACAATTAATTAGCACAAAACTCAGCTTAAAATTAGATGGTATGGTATGAGGCAAATACCCATCTCTTATTAGCCAAAATATAACAAATACATAACAAAATTAAGCCAGTCCAGCAGAATGAGAACACGAACGCAATGTGTGTTCCAAACCTAGAATCAGGAATAATCTAAGGTTTGCTTAGATACTTTATCCCAAATTTACAGATTTTGAACTCTCTACTGTAGTCCTTTGTTTTTTTCCTCCCACGTTTGGAGGAAACATTTTAATGTGTATATTCTCTGGGAAAACCCTAAAATCTGGTTTTTAGGGAGTTTCCCTCTTATCTAATCCTTTGCCACATTATTTTTGTTTCTAATCAGTGGTCTTTGCTTTGTTGCCATCTGAGATGAAAAGCTATGAAGCACTTGGGAACACAGAAACTGAGATCTACGAGTTACAAATGAGTTTCATGTAAGTTTGAAAGACCTTTATCTGTACCCGTCAAGCACAAACAAGTAATCAATGAGTCATATGTCTTAATATTTCTCTCTAAAATCATCAGGCAGCTACAATCAGGTAGACAAGTCGTTCCTTAAAATTTAATATCATTTAATAATTAATAATTGCACAACAGCACATATGTGTAGTCATAGCATATATATGGCATATATATAAAACTTAGCAAAGTCATAGCAATCTTTGCACTTTGGGGAAGCTAAAATGATGTAATAAACTTACTGTTAAAGAAAATATCTACAGAGGCAGGGACAATAACACAGCTGTACAATTGTGTCTTAGGGGGTATAAAATACAGTCAATTTTGTAATCCCGAAATGGCATGCAGCCATAACATTATAACTTCAACTTAGCACTGATGGGAAAGGCATCCTTAAAGTGTGGCATATCACCTCAAAGATCTTTTTTAAGTACCTATTTCTGTCTCCCTTCCCCCTCAATTTTCTTTAAGCAGAGAAGAACATGAAAGAACAGACCCTTTCTAATACACTGTATTTCCCAGTGGGGAGAAAAGGAGAATAAAATGGCAATAACAGAAGCATATTAGCATATTTTAAAACACTAGCACATTACCCTGAACTAAAGCATCCTTAAAATAACATGAGAGCAAGAGAAACTATATTTCATAAAGTGTTGCAAACTTTAAAACACCAAATTGAACTACTCCTATAGAACAATTTCATGCCAGATTGCTTTGGTGGCAAATTAACAAAGGCAGAATTGCTCTTTAGATCTTTAAATTAATGAGATTAAGGAAGACAATGTCTTCCTCTGTGCTTGATTATATTGACTTAATTTCTTAATTACTATTAACTATACTTTTATGTTTTACAAGTCACACTCCATTTTTACAGCTGTTCTTTAATCCTAGGGTAATCTTGTATTCTGAAGAATCACTTGAGAATAAAAACAGCAAAACTGAAGACAAAATTCAGTGGGGCTTAATCCACCAGTACATTCTGCCTGAATCAAATCTTATGCCAGTATTTTATGAGGCATTCCAGAAAAGTGCCAGACTTTTCAAAGAGAAAAATTAAAATGATATTCTGGTTCACTGTAACTCCAAGGAGTAGGCCCGAGGAAAAACCGTGCATCAGACAAGCACGCACCAGTGTGGTGAGAGAGGACAACCCCAACTGGGGCACAACTCCCCACTACTTAATGTTTCAAAAAATAAAATCAACTGCATATAAAATCATATTTATACCTAGAAAGTCTAGTGCGAGGACACAAAGTAATGATAAGAAAGGAACTGGGCTGGGCAAGGTAGCTCATGCCTGTAATCCCAGCACTTTGGGAGGACAAGGCAGGCGAATCGCTTGAGCCCTAGAGTTGGAGACCAGCCTGGGCAACATGGCAAAACCTGGTCTCTATAAAAAGTACAAAAAAAAAATTAGCTGGGTGTGGTGGCATGCACCTGTAATCCCAGCTATTCAGGAGGTTGAGGTGGGAGGATCGCTTGAGCCCAAGACGTTGAGACTACAGTGAGCCATGATGATTCAACTGTACTCCAGCCTTGGTGACAGAGCAACGTCCTGTCTCAAAAAAAAAAAAAAAAAAAAAAAAGTGGCGGGGGCTGAAATTTACTAACAAGACTTCTGGATTGCAAATCCAACACAGATATGAATATGTCATTTCCTCTTGGCTTCCCAATTGTATTTAATATGGGTAAACAATGCATATATTATAAGGAGAAACATAACCCCCTAAACCTCTGCAGGATAAACGAACTCACATTATTTTCTAAAAGAACACAGCAACCCAGTTTGTCCTATCATCACACCATGAGCTCAGAAAGAAAATCTGACACATGCAGCAGAAAGTGCAAAAAGTTATTTACTAACCTGGTGCCCCTGTGAAAATAGTTGCTCCATATCACTTTAAGGAAAGAATCCTTGCTATGAAACCAATCTCCAAAGCAGCTGAAAGCCAAGAGGTGGCAAAATTGACTACCCTGAGAATCCAAATAAACAGGGAAAGCCTTCCTGTTCCCAAGCCCAGTTTTGGCTGACTCCCTCAAGGCGACTTCAGTCATAGCCAAGCCCACAAAGCACTTTAACCTATAAGCTTTAGTAATGAACTTGAAACCACTCCCCGTATGTTAAATAGACACCGGACTGCTGTGAGAAATAAAACCCACATACAGAATGAACTACAGCTTCGGGCTGCACTTTCGTACTGGCTGCCCAAGAAAACCATAACACAAACTTAAACAAAGGGAACTCTCACTCCCTTCTCTCCCCTCAGACACTGCATTAAAGTGACTCATTTACTTTAAACAAGGGAATACAGTCTGTCCTCCATTAGGGCCATGAAATGATTTTTATATTGTACAAGTTGGGTGGCAGTTATGGAACAGATAGCACTGTAATTTCACATTGCATAAGAGGGACATGTGAAGTTATCATTTCTGAGAATCCATTGTAGATACTATTACTATTTTCAGATATCATTGAATAAGCTTAAAAACTTCATCAAATCCAATGATTAACATAAGTTCAACAGGAAAATTTGTCAAAGAACCTTCTAACTTCTGATTCTGACTTAGTGTCTATAAATCTTAAAAACATTCTTATAATTCAGTTTCACCACCTACATTTAGAATAGATGTATAAGCTAAGACATGTCTTTTAACATGGATCTTTAAGCTGCCTTTTAAAATGGAACTTAATACCACTCACTAAGATTTCAAAGTAAGAAATTTATGTTTCATTCTAGAAAAATGTAGTCAATCAATTCCTTAAAGCAGTTAGATCTTAAAACAGAGTCAGTAATGTTCTAGCATATTGCTTAAGAAAGAAGAAGAATCTATGCTCAGCTTTTTACACAATGTGCTCACAGTATACATATTTCCCCTAGAACTCAACTCCAAGAACAGTTTTAATTCTAATGGCTTGTTGCCATGATTTGTATTTTGTTTAAATAAGACTTATTTTAACATAATGATCAAAGTTTTTGAGTTTTATTGTTTCTCCTAAACCATAAGATTGGACCACATATGCCAAGCAAAATGTGATTCACCTGTTGCCAAACTGATTTACATGAATTACTGGTAAAATTCAAGTGACTCAAAACCTGTGAAATATAAGCCATTAGCTCAACAAATCCAGGCATGAAAATCCTGGAGACTATTTTAGATCTAACACACACCTTTCCCACCTCCTCTACCCACTCCCGGGTCACGGCTCAACAGGATCTCATGGGGTCACTTCAGAGTGACGCGGCAAGACAATCCCCTCCACCTCTGGAAGAAAAGAAAACGAGCCTCAGGACATGTGGCTGATGACTTTAAAAGGAGCTAGTGCCCCACCTGCTGGCAAAACCAAGAGAAGGCTGGAGGAGCTGAACAAACCTCAGGGGAAATGTTACTACTTTGATGTTGGAAGAAAAACAGGGAAGGATCAGCTATGCGAGCACATTAATGTCACATACAATATGTTGTAAAATATTAAATTTTTCCACACAATTGTGATATATTTCTAGAGGATATAAAAATGCTCATGCAAAAAATGCAATTAGATTCAAAACCATCTCTTTTACATAGATCTGGTTTGCAAACATATATGATAATTTGCATGCTCAAGGAAATCCTCTGATAAATAATATTGATCTCTCCTCTGCACAAAGAGCTTCAAAAAATACTCCTGGGAGACCAACACAATCTTTGAAATGGAAGAAATATGAATAAATCCCCAACTCAGCTAGATAAACTACTGGTGGGGCTGTGTCTCCATCAGTCTGTATATCTGTATTCCCAGAATTTCTCTTATCTTTCAGTAAAAATTTATTTCCTTTTGCCACACATAAATTAATTCATCTAAAATGAATGTCTAATATTAACATTAATGAAGACGAAGAAAAGTTAAGTCATGGGCACCAAATTACACTACATTCTTTAATAAAACCCCAGCAATAATAAGACTATAGCAGGATATGACTTTTAAATGAGCCCAAGCTGTATTACTAAAACTAAAATGAGGCCAGGTGCAGGGGCTCATGCCTGTAAGCCCAGCACTTTGGAAGGCCAAGGCAGGCCGATCATGAGTCAGGAGCTCCAGACCAGCCTGACGAACATGGTGAAACCCTGTCTAAACCCCGTCTCTACTAAAAATACAAAAATTAGCTGGGCGTGGTGGCGCACATCTATAATCCCAGCTACTCAGGAGGCTAAGGCAGGAGAATCACTTGAACCCGGGAGGCCAAGGTTGCAGTGAGCCGAGATCGTGCCATTGCACTCCAGCCTGGGCGACAGAGCGAGACTCTGTCTCAAAAAAACAAAACAAAACAAAACAAACGAACAAAAAACTAAAATGAATAAGGATAGCTATTATTTAAGCTCTTACAATGAGCCAAGCTTGGTTCTAAAGTGCTTTATAAGTACCAACTCATTTAAACTTTACCACTCTATTATTATACCAGTTTTACAGATGAGAAAACTGAGGCGTCCAAAGGCTAGTAAGTACACTGCCAAGATCACACGGTTAGAGACAGAGCTGGGATTAGAACCCAGGTCGGTGCTCCTAATCATGTACTTTAATAACTCTTTCTTCCTGAGTGCGTACCATTTAAACCCTGCCAAGGCCCTGGTCAAATGCAAGGGCGGGGAGACAGTGGATAAGAACAACACTGTGAACGGTCCTCAAAAAGTCTTTTCAGAGAAGTGGCCACAGAACTGAGACCTGGAGGCAACATGGAAGGGAAAGGGTCCCCAGGGAGAGGGCACTCACTCAGTCCGCCAAAGCAAAGGGGTAAATGCCGTGGGGGATATTGGAGGGACTGCCTGCAGGGGCCTTAGTAAGGCTGAGGGACCAGCAGAAGAAAACGCTATGAGGAAGGCAAAGTCCTCTTATGTCGCATCAGGGAGCAAAGAGGCATCACCAAGGGATGCTAAACCAGAAAGTGTCCAGATATGCATGTTGAAAAGGAAGAATGAGGCTTTGTTCAGTGAGTAGAAATTTAGACATCCCAGGTAAAGGCAAGCAGCGGCCAGTGCTGTAAAACATACAAGTTTGTACTTTCTTTTTTTTTTTTTTTTTTTTTTTTTTTTTTTTTTTTTTTTTTCGGAGTCTCGCTGTGCTCCCAGGCTGGAGTGCAGTGGCGTGATCTCAGCTCACTGCAAGCTCCGCCTCCCGGGTTCACGCCATTCTCCCGCCTCAGCCTCCCAAGTAGCTGAGACTACAGGCGCCCGCCACCACGCCCGGCTAGTTTTTTGTATTTTTAGTAGAGACGGGGTTTCACCATGTTAGCCAGGACAGTCTCGATCTCCTGACCTCGTGATCCACCCGCCTCGGCCTCCCAAAGTGCTGGGATTACAGGCTTGAGCCACCGCGCCCGGCCAAGTTTGTACTTTCATAAACTGTATCAAGGAGTCTTGCGCAGCAACCCCTGCAGCAGCATGCTCACTGGCTCCCTTGTCAAGCCAGCTCGGGGCTGGAGCCACGTGGTGGTTGCTAATGCCATTCACAGAGCTAGGGACAAGGAGGAAGGGCAGGCTGGTGGGAGCAGGGTGGGGAGATGCTCAAGCCAAGGAGTTTGCTGAAGGAGGCTGGGTTTGAGGTCCTCTGAGCCATTCAGGGAGGATATTCAGCATGTCCCAGGAGATGCAGGCCAGGCGCTTCAGTTCTCTGCCTAGACAGCAGAGGTGTACATTTAGGAGTCACTGACACTGAAGGAGCAGCTGCAGCTGGGGGACAGTGGAACACAGAGTTTATCCCTGGAAAATGCACAGCATAACAAGAAAGGGTGAAATTTAAGGCAAGGCTAAGGATGTCAGACAGAATTCAGGCTGTTGATAAAAAATTTTATTTTTATTTTTACTAACTTCTAACTAAAATTATCATTTCCTTCTGTAACTTGTCATCAAAGATATTTTCTTTGACATCAAAGATATTTTCTTAGACAGCAAAGATATTTTCGTATCACATTAGTTATTGCAATATCTCAAAGTATCATTTCCACTCATCACTATTTCAAAATTACAGTAGTTATTAGACCTGTCGCTAGATACTGGTAAGTAATGCCTTTTAATAAAGGACAGGTATCACAATATGACATATTTACTTCTTTGCATATTGATAACTTTATGTCAATATAATTGGTTTCCTTTGTAATCCTATGCATTTTAATTTTATATGTTTAATTTTACAGAATAAACAGTCTGTAGAGTGATTCATTAGCTTAATTAGAATATCAAAGAGGTCCCATGGCACAAGTAAAAGTAAAGAACATCTGATTTAAAAGGGGAAAGAGCCCAGAACGGTGGCTCACGTCTGTAATCCCAACACTTTGGGAGGCCGAGAGGGGCAGATCACCTGAGGTCAGGGCTTCAAGACCAGCCTGGACAACATGGTGAAACCCTATCACTACTAAAAATGAAAAAATTAGCCGGGCGTGGTGGTGCACGCCTATAATCCCAGCTACTCAGGAGGCTGAGGCGGGACAATTGCTTGAACCCAGCAGGTAGAGGTTGCAGTGAGCAGAGACTGTGCCACTACACTCTAGCCTGGACGAGAGAGACACTCTGTCTCAAAATAAGTAAATAAATAAATAAATAAATAAATTAACTAAAATAAAAGGGGAAAGAAGCCACAGGAAAACACTTAAAAGCAGCACTGGGAAAAGGGGGACCCTGGTATGAGATGGAGCCAGCTTTCAAAGCTAGGATGCAAACCCAGGACATCTGACTTTGTGTTCTTTCCACCACCACCTGACTCCACATCCTAAAATAATCAAAACAGTAACCGCTTCATTTGTGTAAACAAAGTTCTTTCACATGTATTAGCTTGTTCGTTCATCACATTGATTCAGAGTAGGAAAAGGCAGGAACCCATACCTGCCTTGAACCTCAGCAGAAGCTGCCATCTAAGAGGACACTCCTTCCTGGGCCTCAGCACTGCGCCAGTGCTGCAGCGGACGGCGGTACCTGTCACCCCACTCTATGGAGCTGTAGTCATGGACACAGAAGAGTAAGATGAAGAGCCCCCCCTCCACACTACCACACTAGCTAGAACCTGATTGCAAGAGGAGGGCACAGTGGGTGCCCACCCAGTGATGAGCTGCACTTCTCTCCAGGCTTCTATTTGCAGGTAAGGCTGAGAATTGAATTTGTTTCCTTGTTCAAAGCTCTTTTAGTTAGTTCTGATTGATGATCCAGAGTGAATTACAAGATTTGCAATATTTCAGCTCTTTAATTTGCCATTGGCTGTAACCAAGACAGAAGACTTTACTGAAGCAATTGGTTTGAAATTAGATGGATGAGCTGAAACAATGGGCTCTCTGTTCTTTCCTCTCTGTGCCCACCAACTGGCATTCATTATCGAATCTGTGACGCGTGTTGCCAGGGCTGCGGTAATGACAACAGCACCCATTGTCTTCACATCCTTTCTCTATTCTGTAACATCTGTCATGGCTCCTGTCTATATTTCATTTTATTTTGCTTCTTTTACTTTTACAGCGTGACTCTTAATTACTACAAATTGCTCTGAAATCTATTCTAACCCTGCAACGTGTAACATCATTTTGTAACTTGGTAATAACAAAAAACTGAAGGCACGTGTGATGGCACCCTTTTAAATAACTGTAATTTTACACAAAACTGTATAATTGCAAACAAATTTTATCTCAAGGTTAACTAGATAACCTCTCTTTTTAAATAACCTGATCAGTTCACAGACGACTTTGGCCCCTTCTCATATAATACATGACTTTCATTTACACAGTAACGAGAATGTAGGTTTATATGACTAATCTGACACAATACAGTAACTTCTGCTTAAAAAAAACGGCTGAACAAAGCTGAACATTTCTTAATATGCAGTTAAAATATACATTACTATGTTCATTGATGGATCTTTAATTTCCAAGTTTCCCTATTATTTTCTTTCTTTTTAAAATAAGGAGCCATAGTGAAAATTGTCACTTGCCTTCTAATCAGTCACCTAAAAACTAGAGTGAAAAGTTTTGTGTGTAAAAAGAGTTCAGAATTGGATTCTACATCCCAGGAACAGAAGAACTGGCCTCCCTGCTGCTGCCTGTCTCTGAACACGGCACACCCATCCGCTGTACGAAACGCAGAGGTTTCACTGAGAGCTGCCTGCAGTGTAAGGGAGGAGGAGACTAAACCTGGCAGGAACAAGCCCTTGGTAATTTACCTTCTTTCCTAATTGCCCAGAGGCATTTCCTTCCTTGCTTACCCAATCTAAGGAAGGGTTTCCAGTTGCCCTAGCAGTTCCTTTAACCTGAAGCCACTTGCTCAAGTTCCTACCCTGTTTTTTGTGTTGCTCTCAATCTGCTTTCTCACAAAACCTCGCTTTGCAACCAAACTGGTTTATTCCATTTTTCAAATTACCTAGTTCTTCCTTCCTTTCGAGTTTGTGCCACTGTCGCAACTGAGGCAATGCCCTTCCCCCTCCTGGACAGTAAAGGAGTCAGATTCTCTCCAGAATTTCAAGGGGCAGCCCAAACCCATGTCCCCTACAAAGCATTTTCAGGTCACCCTGCTTTAAAAAAAAATTGCTCAACAACTCCAGCAATCATCATTAGCAGCAGCAAATCCATTGGGCAACAAATTATGCCTTGCGACTTTCTATTTTATCTGGATGGGTTATTTAAATAGCGATGGCATTTAACTTTTCATGTACTTATAACTTCTTCCTCCAACTTAGTAATCAGTAACTACATATTACAAGTTATACCTCTGAAATCGGCCATTGTAAAAAGCATATAGTAAAAATTCTACCTTACATTGCATTCATATATGTATTTGTTGCTTATAAGATATTTAAATTACTTGTGTTACTTAATGATAATTACAAAACAACAGCCAACACTATTGCCATAATATCTTACTAGACTCAATATCTTATTTGACATTGACATCTGCCATAGGAGTTGATACAATTATTTTCCCCATTTTTCAGGTGATGAAAATGGGGCCAGAAAGCTTAAATTTCCCAAGGTCAGGCATTCAATGCGTATTTAGTGAGCACCTACTATGCGACAGGCATTGCTATCAGCATTAGTGATGAAAGCA